ATACTTTATAATAAGCTATAGAATATAAAATAAAGAGCCCTATAGGTAGTAGTAATAGAATATTATACTATTCCTATAATGCCATAATTCAAGGCCTAAAAGAGAGAAGATAGGCACTTCTTAATTAGCGAGATACTAAGGAATTCCGAAAGGGAAGTCTATTTTAGTAATAAAGTAATACCGGAAATACTATTACTTAAGCCTATTACTAGTATAGCTAGTTATAAATAGTATATATTATAGATTCTAGCTATATAGATAACTAGGTCCGAAATAGTATATAAGAAAGGTAAAGAGATACTACTTGAACTATTATTATAGTACTAAAGGCTTAATCCGTTAGTATAATACTAGTAGTATAAATAGTTCTTAAAGGAGACTTCTATTAGAGTTATTAAGACTTGAGAACTTAATATATCTGGATTATTAAGATATTAGAATACTATCTATATACTAAATAAGCCGGCTCTTAAAAAAGAATTACTATAAGCTAACTATAATAATTCTATAAATAGGTATTTTAGTACTAGTAAGATACTAGAGATTCTCTAGAGAAAGTACTTCTAGTAGAATATAAAAAAGAATATAAAAAACTATATTAGAACTTGCCCTATATATTAATAGACTAAGGTAAAGAGATATCTATTATATAGTATACTTAGTTTATTTCCCTTTTCTTCCAAGCCATAGTAAGAAATTACTATAGACTTTATTATAGGACTACCTTTTTCTAGGTTTTATAATAAGATATATAATTCTATACTTATTATTATTAATAGATATATGAAAATAGTATAATATATTCCGATTACTAAAGAGATCTCGGCTCCTGAATTAGTAAAGCTATTTATATATTATATTATTAAAGACTTTAGTATACCTATAGGTATAACCTCTAATAAAGGATCTGTTTTTATAAGCAAGTTCTAGTTAAGTCTATACTTTTATTTAAAAGTTTAATAATAGCTAAGTATAGTATTCTACCCGCAAACTAATAGATAAATAGAGAATCTAAACCAAACTCTAGAATAGTACTTAAGGTACTATACTAGCTATTAGTAGAATAACTGGATAGTAAAGCTTACTTTTATAGAATTCACATATAATAACTCTATATATTTAATAATAAGAATTTCTTTATTCTATATATTATATAGATTCTATTCTAGTATTAAACTATATATTAAGGATAATATTCCAGAAAAAGAGGTACCAGTAATATAGAAAAGAATATAGAGAATTTAAATAAAACGGGAAATACTAGAGAAATAATAATAAAAAGTAATAAATATATAGAAAAAGTACTATAATAAGAAATATATTAATAAGGAATTTAATATATATAATAAAGTCATACTTTATATAAAGAATATTTAATAGCTATAACCTAATATAAAGCTAGTAGACAGATATCTTGGCTCCTTTAAAGTTCTGGAAGTTATAGGAATATATAGACAGATATACCGCTTGAAATTACTACTATTATATTAGATCTATAATATTTTCTATATTTCTCTTTTGAAATTATAGTACCCGCAAGCTAGTACTATAGTAGAACTAGAACCGATCGAGATTAAGGGCAAAGAAGAATTTAAGGTGAAATCTATTATAGCCTATAGGGAGAATAGAAAAGAAAGAGAATATCTCGTTTATTAGAAAGGCTATTTACTAGTAAATAATATATAGGAACTACTAAATAATCTAGAGAATATAACTCAAGAATTATAAGAATACTTGAAAAAGAGTAATATTATAATACTATTAGCCAAATAGAGGTATAAAAGATAAATGCTTTTATTAGGAAACTATTAAAAACCATATATTTATTCTTAGAAAAACCATATAAAAATTATTAAGAATTCTAAAAACTCTAATTTCTATATCTTATAAATATCCTACTCTTATAACTACTCTCTACTATTCTTATTATTATTCTTATTAGAATTCTCTCGAGAAACAGGTAGTAAATTAGCCTATAAAGCTATTAGCTATTAGTAAGGAATAAGGAAAAAGTAAGCTTATTTAATACCGAAGAATATTAACTATATTATTAAGAGTACTTTATATTTATACTAAGCTAGTAAGAATTACTTAATCTATTTCTTGGATTATTAGGGGAATCCGTTAGCCTCGAATAATAGCTTTAATACGAGAAGTATATACTATTTAGTATAGAAGAAGAGTAGTAATAGTCTTTTCTCTTTTGGGTAAAAAATAAAGAAAACGCTTATATATATTAATAGCTTAAAAAAGGCAGTTTAACCGTACTATATATATTTAAGGAATCTTAGATAGTATTAGAATAGGAAATAAATAAAGGAAATTATAACTTATAGAATTATACTTCTTATTCTTAGAGCAGTAGTAATTATATACCGAGTAATTATTACTCTTAATATAAGTAAGATCGGGAAATTTGGTAATATTCTTGAAATATTAAAGATAGTAAGGGCGAATTAAGGATATGGGAATATTGGCCAAACGAGTAGTAATAGGCTAATAAGTACTAAGAGGAGTATTTATCTTAATAAATAAAGAAGTAGAAGAGGGAATTAGAAGGGAACTTAAATAAAGCTTAAAGGAATTTGAAGAAGGCTTAAAGAAAGAAAGCAAGAAATAAGGAGGAGCTGGGTATAGTATTATAATTAAGGAAAGGAAGGTTAGTTAGTAGGAAAAAAGAGGCCTTTTTATAATATTCTCTTCCCGAATAGTAATTACGAATTCGGAACCGGCTCTATACTAAGAATATCCAGAAAATTCCAAAGAAGGGATTTATAAATAAACCAGAAGATCGGATTAATTTTTCCAAGCTCTTAGGCCTATAGAGTAATAATTTATTTATAAATAGAGGCTAAGTTGAAATTTATAAATTAATTAGAAGACCGGAAGAGCTTCCTGCCTAATAGTATATACTATACCCGTATTACCTTTACGAGGGGAAATCGCCAGAAGCAATTTGCAGATTAGCTGGGCAGGGTTAGTAAACTATATCCTCAAGTCTATTACCTGGCGTAATAATAGGGTAATTATAGGGAGTCTTTAGGAAGAACTAATAGCCGGAAAGGTTTCAGGAAATTATTTATAAAGCTATTTATAGTTCTCTCAGGCCTCTTAGGGACAAGGGCCCAGAGGGAGGGTTAATATAATAGGTATATGTAATGGTATATAGACAGGTATTAGATGTTATAGATCTAGTTTCCTATTTTAGGTAAAGCTTGTAATCGGAATCATATAGGCGATTGGAATTATACGGATCGTATGGGATCGTATTTCCTAGTTAAGTAAAGTGCTTCGCAGGCTTGGCTAAATACTAGGGAACATATAGGGAAACGCTCCTAGCTTTGGAAAGGGGCATTAATTAGTCTTTTATTGGAATCGATTCTTGGAATTAGTTACACTTGCAAGCGTCACTCTGCAGCTCACTTACCTTGACTACTTGTATATTACCCTGCTATTACGTGCCTTATAATTAAAAACCTGAGTAAGATAGGCTAATCCAAAGGTATTAGAGGATTATCCATTCGCTAATAATACAAAAAAAGTATATTACTTCTCCTTTAGATCCTCTAGCCAGGAATCTTAAAGATTTCTAGAGGTTCCTTTATAAATTAAAGCGGGTAGGATCTTTATACTATCCGTATAAATAGTAGCAAGCAAGCTAATAAACTCTCATAAGCCATTCTGCTTTACTTCCTTGATTTTTCTACTATTATATAGCTTTTTTATTATTATATACTTTAAAGTATAAGTAATTCTAATCAAAAAACCCTTCTCGTCCCAATTATACATATTTTCTACCGTAATATTATAATCCTCGATTGCTTTAATTAACTTAGTAGGGGAGTATAAGCATTAGCTATTTTATCCAGAAAATTCACAAGAAATAGAAATAATACTAAAATAAATAATACCAAATCAAAGAAGAACTAAATATAGGGCCCATATTCCGATTTCATTTACAGATTATTAATATTATATAAATAAAGACTTTTGAGCCGGAATAAATACCGCTAGACGAAACCAGCCGTCTAGTTCTTGTTTATATTATATCCAATTATCTTCTCTGTAAGGTTTTTGATAATATAAGTAGTAGGAGGAAGGCCCCGGATTATAAGCTTATTAATTTGATTAATTAAAGCCTCTTCTTGCATATTAGTAAGAAGTTTGTGGTATATAGAGGTAGCCTCTTACTTTGAGATGGAAATGCCTTTATGCCTTCGTATAAGCATTATCCGTTTAATTCCATTTTTTTTTTACCGATCTTAGCGTAATTAGGGATTAATTGCCTATCCAACGCATTAAGCGCTTTCTCCATATCTTGTTCGTTGACCATTTTATCGATTTTTGAAGTTGGTGGTGTAATTTTAGGAGAAGCGTGCGTTGGCTTGGTGCGTGCGTTGACCTTGGATCTCGGTTAACGCCAGCTTTCGATTTGCGCCCGCTTTCTAGTCCTGATTTGCGGTACCGTGAACCCGGCTATACTTTACGCGGTAGCGCAACTTTCCGCTATACTGCAAATTTTTGCGGTAGCTTTCTACGGTCGCACATCGGGGATAGACTTATATTGGAGATGCATTCGTGTAGGGACATACTCACAACGTATACTATTCGTGCGCTTTCCCTGTAAATAGCCAGGGATTACAAGTAAGCTTCGAGAAAGATTTTTGTTGCAAGTCGCAAAATTTGTAGGAGGCCTCCTTATCAATGCTACGTTCTTCCAATTAACAGCTCTTCTACCAACACATTTCAAGTTTTGGTTGCGATCGGAAGGAGGCGGTTGGAAAGTGCAGCCTATTGGATAGGGAAGTGCCGTCCACGGCATTTTGTGTATGATTTCCGGGTCTGCCCGCCTGGGAGTCAAAAATGGGCCCCTAGGAGGGTGTTTCCACCCTAGAACAATGTCCGTGGCCTGATTGACCAGCGATCCAAAGAATGCCGGCAGCTGACTAATCACTGTGGGGGTAAACTCGTAGAAAGGAGAATAATTCATAAGAAATATTCTGGATATAGATTTCATGACACTCAAACAGGAACCAAGTCAATCAACCCCTTGCAACTCAACAGCTCCCTCTCTCTTGCCTTCCACAAATACCGCAGGAGGAGTATAATGCCTCTTCCCATACACAACGTAAATGACAACCGACAGCAGCATAACGCCCACCCAAACAGCCGGTGCCCAATTTGCCGTCGTCAGCGTGACCAGCACACTAGCAGGGAAGTAACTAAAAATTATCACAAATCCAGAATTAAGGAAAGCAAAGTCATTGATCAGGATCCCGAATCGTCTTAGCAACCAGCGGGCAGGAGGCCATTCTGCCCGCCGAGCAGACGCTTGCGGAGCACGCAGCCGATGGAGATCATGTAGGTGGAGAGGAGGGCGAGGAGAGTAAGGGAGACGATGATAATTGAAGGCAAATGTGGACCCGAGGTTGGTCAGGCAGATATAAGCCATCATTTTCTCATAGCATGTAACTCATCAAGCCGGGTTGAAAGCACCTCCAAGAGCCTGCCAGCCAGTAGGCGAAGGTTCCCATTCAGATCCATCCCAAGTTTTCTGGTACATACTGTTGTCGGTTCCGAGTGCGAAAATATCAAGTCGGTTGGGACCCCAAGAGACAACAGACAAGGACTTGTGGTGAAGTGTCGACTCCAACTTTATACCGCCCGCCTTCAATAACATCGACTGTTTAGACATCGGATCTCTTTGGCTTTTCACTGAGGTGGCATCCATGACGAAGCGGTCGCGTTGATGATATCGGTTGGCAGTCGTTAAAGTAGAGCAAATTCTGAACTAAAAAGTCTTGTTAGCATGTTCGTGGAGCTTCACCATCCACGCCACTGATTCCTGACCTAGGGAGCTTCAGTTGCAACGTATGCAATGATTGAAGTGTATCAAATCCCACCCACAGTTTGTGTAGGAGATCTGGTGTGCTCAGGTTTTCGCGTCTCATTAGACACTTCAAGTGTGCGTTGTAATGGTTGATAGATTAAATGTTGGAAATATTTGGGCAAGCAAGACACATTTATATCAATAGAGAAATAAGGAAAATGTGGGCCTGAAGACATGACATCTGGATCGTGGATAGCACACGAAACCTCTCAGCTGCGGCTGAACCTGCAGGTGAAACCAATATCAGCTGGGCTTGCCGTTTGCATGGTCGCTGACACCAATAGGCCGGTCTCTGACTTGGTGGTGGTGTGGACCGGATGAGGTTGGGACAACCAGCCTCGCCAGATCGAAACCCGTAAGTGAGGTAAGGCCTGATTAAGCAAAGAACTAAAATCACCAGGTTTGTCTTTACTATAAGACCAAGGACCCACTACAAATTTTATGGCGGCGAATAATAATGCAAAAAAATACAAATCACGGCGGATCGCATCCCATCCCAATGCACCTACCGCTATAGTAGCTTTAGTTCGAAACATAACCCTAGCTAGCCGAAGTCTTTCACGTGAATAAATCACATGATGCCCTGGCTATATCACATAAATAAATTAAATAAAAGAGTAATCTTAAAGCCTTTATAAATAGATTATAATTAAATATATAATAATAATCTTTATATATTATTATTATTATTATTATTATTATTATTATTATAAGCTGGCAAGGCCCTCAGGGCATTTCAGAGCCTATTGAGTCGATCACCCGCCCTGCATTTCGCCTTACTTGCGGTTGTGGTTCTCTTCCGACGCCAGGCTGAGACCCGCACTCAAGCCATGGCGTGCACTCCCACGATCGTGAAATTCTGGTTGGATCAAAATTAGCTGATCACCACGTTTTGGGTGCCTTGGCATAGGGCTGAAGCAGCCGTTTGGAAGATGCCGTCGGAAGCATCAGGAGACCCTGCGGTGTAACAAAACGAGGGGGAAGCATTATTTGCGAGTGGAAGGATATCGTGAGCGATACGAGATGGCTGAAACTCCGAAAAAGTCACATGTGGGGTCATGCCATCTCGATTCGACCTCTTCATGACCTTTATTCTTTTTTCTGTTTACTGAAACTTACGGGTACGATTATTAGGGCGATAGAATGCGAAGGCACTAATTCCCTTATTAAGGTATTTAAGCGAGAAATTTTGCCTTTTAAGGGGCAAATCTTACTCTTATACTAATCTTACTTCGAACTGATATTTAGACTACGGATTTTAATGCAATAGATTTAATAATAAAATAATTAACATCCTCGTTACGCGTTTCCACTCTTGTAGCGGTATATTGTTATTATGTTTATCCCTGAGTACGGCTTCCTAAGCGTCTAAATGCCTTTCCAAAGTTTTTGATTCCCTTGGCCCCCGAATCTAGCCATACGGAAATTCCCTGCCCAGTTTGGCTTCGGCTGTTTTTGGAAATTGGCCATGTAACTATATATTATTGTTTTATCCTGGGGTCCTGGCCAGGCAGCAGTCAGCCAAACAAAGTGATTCTCCAACAATTATAATTAACGCCCGGCATACCGTGGAAATCCCACCACCACTTACAGAGCAATCGCCAGATTCTGCAGCGACTTACTTAGCTCCAGTTTCAGGGTGGCTTAAGTGGATTCAGCTACCGGGGTTGGTCGCAAGCCAATAACCGACCGAATATAAGGACTTTGGTAATATCAAGCTTCGTAGCTTTACTAGCCCCGATATCTTGCAGTTCTGTGCGACTTCAAGTCTTCAATCAAAACAAGCGAGTGACCTTCTCGTAAATTCATCCATTCATAGAAAAGACCCGAAGTTTGTAAAAGGAATAAGGAACTTCCGATTATATTGACGGATGACCACATATATATGGCTATAAGGCTAATTTTGATATAATCGGTTATCTATGCGTATTATAGGTCCTGTACTTGGCATAAGATAAGTGGGCTTGAAGGCAGGGACTTTGTATCGAATCCAAATATTATTCATTGATCCAGTTGCCTTATTGAGATTCAGGGGTAGCTCGGGTAGTAAAAGGCTTTGGTTATGCAGGTAGAACTTTCCTGTTATTTGTCCCCGAGGCAAGGAGAGCAGAGTAACCCATCTAATTATGCTTATAATGCAAAGAAAATATGACTGCTGTATATAGTAATCGGACATGAAATGGCACTATTTTTTCGCTCAACATTCACCTCGAGAAGCCGCTCTCAAAGCATACCGATCCCACGTCTTCGATATCCCACCACGGCCCTTTGCTCAGCTCGAAGGCGGGATTAGCACCGGCATCGACCGAGACGGAAACGGCAGCGGCTTCAGGCACGGGTTCGGGAGTATCTGACTTGTCATCTTCGAGAACCACCGGCCTGTCTGCGTATGGGTTAGGAGGCTGCTTGATATATAGTAATGGAGAGCCAGGGCATATACCTTGAGTGCCTTGGCTATTGCCCATACCATTATCTGGTCTGGGGTTCGGATCGAGATAGCTCCCACTTGTATTAAGAGCAGGCCCTTCGAGGCACTGGGAAATATCCACAGAGTTCTGGTATACTATTAAGACCCCTTGCTCGAAAAAGCCAGGAGCTTGTTAATCGGGGGGAAATCGTTGTCTGCTTCATTATTGCCATTAGCAGGGTTATTATGGCAGCCTGCAAATGCATATAACAGATTAGCCAGATTTATCCCTAGAATCCTTTCTTATTACACCTTAAGCTCCGATTACGTTACCTTCCTGCTAGAATGCAGAGTTATGCCCCTGGTACCGAGCCGGTACGGCAGTAGACTCGGACTGCTTGTCTTGCCCGAGTATTTCGTTAGCTCTGGTATATAGTAACGCTAGCTGGTTACGCGAACTGGATATTAGGCCAGATCTGTTATTCTTGTATATATATAGTAAAGTATAACGTTTAGAGGGTATTGGATTTAAAGGAGGCTGCCAAAATTAAATATAGCTTAAATTAACTATAGCTATTACAAAAGAATTCGAAGTAAATAAGAAGCTAGGGTTCTGCAAACTTTTTAAAGAAATAAGAGATATAAAAGATTTAAATAGCCGGCCTATATAGTACTACCGTATATATTCTCGGCTAAGCGAGGTTTACTACTAAAACTCACCTACTTTATAAGTTCTTAACTTTTTTTGTACTTACCTATTAATTATCACGTTTAATATACTAGTTGATTTAAAGTAACTCTAAAATATAGCCTCTTAGCTTTTGAATTATATTAAAATCTCGATTTTCTTTTAAGTAGAAATTAGAGAAAAGAAAATTATTAAGCGAATTAGTATATAAAATCGCGAAAAGTCAGATTTGTTATGCTTTATACTTTAATAATATAATAAATATAATTAATATTAAAATTCGTAAAAGACAGATTAATTTGTATTATTATTATAAAGAAGTTACTAACCAATTTCTAATATATAAAAGCATTCCGTTATACTTTTATATATAAGTAAAATAGGTGAGTTTTAATATAAAAGCGGAATTAGTTAAGAATATATTTGGTATTATTATAAATAATACTAAATAGAAAATATAGGCCTATTCTCTTATTTTGCTCTTTAATATTTATTTATTACTTATAACTACTATATTATTTTTACTAGCCTATTTTTTATTAGCCTAAAATACTATAAGATATAATATAATATATAAAAACCATCTTTTCTCTTATTTTAATTCCTGCTTCTTGCATTTTATAAAATATTTATTAGAGCTAGAAAAGTTTACCTTTAAGGCAATATTTAATATTATATAAGATTTAATTTGCTTCTATATAAAGCTAAGCTTATATAACCTTTAGCTTCTTTTAATTTACCTAGTTATTTCGGAACTTATTTTCTTATATCTTTTTTAGTAATAAAATTACTAGCCTATTTACTTATCTAGCTAATTCAGAACTTTTTTACCTAATTATTAGTCTAGAGCTTTCTTTTATTCTAATATTAGTTAACTAGTATGGAAATAGCTATAATATATTGCATTTATACTCGTTAAAAACTAATCGGGTAAATATTATTTAAATTCTTTATAAAATTAAGAAGTGAATAAACTTTAAATTATATTATAAATATAAGATTTAAAGCCTAAAAAGTATAAAAAGATTATTTTTATTTTAAAAATTCAAAGCTAAAAAAAAAGAAATCTCGAAAAAGCCTTAAATCTAAATAATTATAAGCTATATATAAGCCCATATATTAGCTTAAGCAAAGTTATAATATAATGGGAATTTGATTATTATATGGTTTTCGGACTATATATAGGCGTTTAAATATATAAGAGAGAGTAAAGAAGAAGTAATAAACTAAGTACTTAAAAGTAATACTCTTAATAGTAATAAGAAATAAAGCAAAGGTCAAAAATAAGGGGCTCTAAAGTATAATATATTGGGAAGGCTAATTATATATATAGATAGAAGTCTTATATAACTTCTTAAACTAGTACTAGTATATCTGGAAAGTAGGACATATAATAGTAGTTACGGAATAAGAGAGAAAAAACCTTACTATATAGCTCTCTCTTATTATTTATAATTATTCCCTAATTATAATAAAGAAAATACCAAGCTCGTATGAGTATAAAACCCCTTAGAACCTAGAAACTTAAATAGTTTCTAAAGAAACTCATAGCTCATACTTTTAAGACTATCCTTATTCTTCCTATTTCTCTATTTTTCCCTGAGAAAAAAATATAAATATAGTAAAAATAGTTATAACGGAATTATATATATCTTTTATAACCGGTAAAAGCTTATAATAAAAGGAAAAAGCTATATCCCAATAACTATAAAGAAATAATATTAGCTTTATTTCCTCTAGTATCTGAAATACCTAACCCTTTCTTCCTTTTCTTCCCAGATAAGTATTTAAATATAGTACTTTTGTTTC